GCAGATCAAACTCTTTGTTAAGACGTATATTGCACATTGCTTTCTGTTTCATTATTTTTGTGAGTGCAATATACTTTTGATCTGCACTCTGGTTTTATGTTTACATTTGGTGCTGAAAAGACCCACTGCTGAAAGTTAAAAACTTTCTGTATTTCTAGCAGGATCAACAGGTATTTCAAAAAGAAAAAATAAATTTCTTTGACTGATATATTTAACAGACCTAAGAGAGCAAATAAGAGATGATCATTGTTTACATACATATTAACCACCTCCCGCCCGCCATATAGTAATATGACGGACGCAAGGTGGTTCTCTCGTTCTGGGAGGACGTCATATGATGTCCTCCCATTCTCACCGCTCATGCGCGGGTCAGGGAGCGCGCAGCGCGGCGATCAGCGGTGCGCTGTGTCCCTCGGACACAGCGGATCCCCGATCACGGAAAGAGCCAAAGAGGTCGGCTCGGTCATGTGATCAGCTGTGTCCAATCACAGCTGATCACATGTAAACAGGGAAATGCCAGCTATCGGCATTTCTCTCCTCTCGAGCTGTCACGCTGACAGCTCGAGAGGAGAGGAGAGCTGATAATCCGCTTTCCGCGGAGGGGACATTTACACTGATCATCAGGGCACTGATGATCAGTGTAGCCCAAGCAGTGCCACCTGTCAGTGTCCATCAGTGCCTTGTGCCAGTGCTCATCAGTGCCTCGTGCCAGTGTCCATCAATGCCACATATCAGTGCCTACCAGTGCACATCAATGCCACAGATCCGTGCCCATCTGAGCTGCTTTTCAGTGCCACCTATCAGTGCTGCCAATCAGTGCCACCTATCAGTGCTGCCAATCAGTGCCAGTCAATGCCGCCTGTCAGTGCCGCCTAACCGTGCCATGTATCAGTGCCCATCAGTGATGCCTGTCAGTGCCACCTACCAGTGCCTCCTCATCCTTGCCCATCAGTGCAACCTATCAGTGCCCATCACTGCAGCCTCATTAGCGCACATCAGTGAAGGAGACAAATCACTTATTTACAAAATTTTATAACAAAAACTAAGAAAAAAATTTTTTTTTTCTCAAAATTTTCAGTGCTTTTTCGTTTAAGAAAAAATAAAAAAAAACAGAGGTTATTAAATACCATCAAAATAAAGCTCTATCTGTCACAAAAAAAAATGATAAAAATTTCATATGGGTACAGTGTTGCATGACCACGCAATTGTCATTCAAAGTGTGACAGCGCTGAAAGCTGGAAATTGGCCTGGGCAGGAAGGGGGTATATAAGTGCCCTGTAGGCTTGTGGTTAAACATGATAGTGTGTTCACCTCTGGCACCCCTGTTGAAGGAAGGCCTCCTCTTTCCATATAGAAAAGGTCACTGTTCTTATTGGAGATGCACGGAGGACAGAATTCAGGTGCCTGTAAGGCTATCCACAGACAGGAGGTGGACATCACCACATTCAAAATCATTCAGATCTGGACACATTGCATCCTCAGCAGGCACCCCCTGGCCATCCAATATCTAGGGAGAAAAAACAGTTGCCTAAGATGGATTTCCCTAAAGCAGCAATGGCCTTTCTTTTACTCTACCTTCCTTTCATACTTCCAGTTTATTTATTTTAAGTATACAGTATTTTATTACTTCTGTTTTTGTGTTTTGCTGATATTATTTACAAAGCATCCTCCAGCTGGTTTAGCATCATGCCCACTGATATAATGAAAGGTTCTCTGTAAGAAAATATTGGTATGCGATGAGAAATGGCAATACTCTGGATTTATCCATCCCCACAGGACCGTCTCTTAGTATTTTTGTATAGGTCCACTTTCACAGCTGGTGATTTGGGGATCCTTCTTGTCATATTTTTTCTACCCTGTTCCCTGTCTTTTTTTTTTTTTTTTTTTTTTTCTTTTATTACACTCTGCATTCTTCTTCAGCCCTTATTGCTTTACTTATGTATCATTCTCTTGCTATATCTGCTCTATCCCCCGAACTGCTGACCTTTAAAGGATAAGTTCACCTTTGGGAACATGTTACATGTAACATGTTCCTGATCCTGCAGCCGCTGCCTGCTGTTCCCCCGTAACAGAAGTGTGTGGAGAAGTTCCCCATATTAGCTGCTAGTGTTCTGTGAATGGACTACAAGTCCCGACAGCCTTTGTAGCTGTCGGCTTGTAGTCCTCAAACTACCATGGTGCTGTGAGCGCTGTGGTAGTTCATTGAGTCTTCCTTTCAGCAAGTATCAGCTTGCCTGTATGGGATGTACGAGCAAGCAGATACACTGACGGTGAGCAGACCTGCATGGCATCAGCGATCTGCTGATTAATGGTGCAATGCTTTACAGGCTCTTAACACAAAAAAATAATAAATGCACATTTTTTTTACCTGCGAAAAAAATGTGCATTTATTACTTTTTTGTGGAAAGGTGAACTTTTCATTAAAGGATGTGTCTCTTGTGAGTGGTTGTAACTGCTTAAAACACATAGATGGAGTTAGGTTTTAAAGGGGTGTTAACCCCAAACTAAATTGCAGCTTACCAATTCTTAGATCTCATGCACACAGGACTTTTTATAAACATTCCTTCTTTTGGCAGCAGTGTTTTGGCAGAAAAGAAACACCTGTCGCTTGTAAAAGTGTCTAATGCTTTTACAAGCGTTTAGGCACGTTTGCAGGCGCCAAGTGCTTGGGAGTTACTTAATTTTATTGGACAGAAAAATAATGTAAATGCGTCAAGTGTTTTCTCTGCCAAAACACTGCTGATCCTGGACACACTGACCCTGTTTTTATACCTGCCTGTAAACGCCCTTGCCACTAAAAGCTTCTAAAAGTCTATGTGTGCATGGATACATAGGTTAACATGGAGGGGCATTTAAAAGCAGTGAAAAGTATGCATGACACCCCTAAAAGTGGCTGCAAAATCGCCCTGTGTGCATGAGGCCTTAGATGTGGTGACTGCATTTATTTTCTTTTTAGGCTGTTTTTCCTTTATTTTCACCTGGTGTTCCTACCAGTAAGTCTGTTGCTTTTCAACTTCCTTTAACAGACCAAGCTATCCAGACAAAGTAACAGAGGGCTAAGACAAACCATTTAACACTGACAGAGGTGCTTACAATTGTAAGCTTTTATTCATTTATGGAATTCTATAAAGTGTTAGGTTGAGTTCAGCTTTAATTTTTTAGTCAAACCCATCTAAATCTGCTTGTCTAACACTACCCTTTACCCAGACTGACAGTGCTGCTGTTCAAAGGTGTCTGCTTCACTATTTTATCCAAAATGCAGATACCCTAAAGCTGGACATACATGGATGGAAATTCAGCAGGTTCATCAGGGACCATCCGAATTTCGATCCACCTCTTCAGGGAAGCCTACCCCACCCTCACCTAACAGCTGTTCTCCTTCATTCCTCCTACCACCCCCCCCCACCCACCACAGCCACTTCCTCCTGTACCACTACCCCCTCCCTCCTAGATTGTAAGCTCGAAAGAGTAGGGCCCTCTATCCCTTGTGTGCTGATTGCTGTTGCTGTACTGTTTCATGTATTGTCCCCCCCTCTATTGTACAGCGCTGAGCAAACCCTTAGGCGCTATATAAACTCGATGTAATAATATATGGCCACTGTGGTTGAACAGAAGTCAGTCTACCAAACTACTTCTGTTCAACTGCCTTCTTCCTGCTGTCGGAATGCAAAGACACAATGGGGAGGATTCTCCCTTCCACCTTGAATGTGTGTATGAGGGAATCTGGTCCGTTTTTAATATTTTTTTTTTTTTTTTGTTCATCCTGCCGGTTGAATGAAAAAAAAAAAAATTCCTCTATGGCCAGCCTAAGACAGGAGGTTTGTTGCTAGCCAGATCAAGGTGAAAGGCAAAAAGCTTAAAATAAGAAAACTAATGCAACGTTACTTCGATGGTATTTGGTTCCTACTCGCCTAGCCATAATGTATCCCTCAGTGTCATCTAGCTGTTTCTGACGCTGTGGTCAAGAGGGTACCATGTGCCACGTTTGGTGGAAATGACCAGTTGTGAGTAGGTTCTGGATCTGAATATTGAATTTTATATACTCAGTAAAAGGAGTTAGTATCCGTAGATCGCCGGAAGTGGCCTTGTTTAATATACTACCCTCTGACGTCCCCAAAAAATCGACTAAACTAATTTTATACCTATTACTGGCGGCTCGCATTACCATAGCTAGAAGTTGGAAACAATCTTTGATCCCGTTAAACAGGGTGAAGCAAAAACTTAACTGGATAATGGTTAACGATAAACTGACAAGTATTGTCCATGACGATATGTCCAGATTTGAGAGGACTTGGGAGCCTTGGATCAATTACATTACTGTATCGTGATAGTCCTACAGCTGACCCCCCCCCCCCCCCCCCTTATTTTCTTTCCCTGAGGAGTAGTTTCCTTCTTCTTTTCTCTCTTTCTTCTCTATTTTTCTACTCTTCGCTGAATTATTTCTGTCACATTTTGTTCATTCCTTTGGTTCAATTTCTGTTTATTGATTTATGAAACCTGTAAGTCTTCATAGTTACGGCACTCTGTGTGTGTATTTGTAATGCCACTTTTTGATAATCTTTTTGCGTGCCTATCAGTGTTATGATTCTGATTCTATATCTCGTTCCATCATGTAGGTGGACTTTTTCTTTTGCCATCTCGTTTTATGCTTTTATATGCTTGTTTCTCGATAAAAATATTGAAATATAAATTCTGAGGAGTTGCTGATCTAGAACAAGCATGCTGAGTGGGAATCCAGACTCAGAAGCAGCAACATTTTCACTAAGGAGCATATAGTTGTGTCGTAGCATGCTGCTTTTAGCTAACACAAGAAGCCACAGTGTTCAACAGTCTACCATGCAAGCTTCAAAATATGATTTTCATTTGTTGATAGCTGTGCTTGTTCCACACTGGCTACATCTAGCAAATCTGAATGTTATAATGAACAGTGTTATGACTTCATTGTCATGATATGTGGCAGAGATTTTGCTGGTGTTAATAGATGTTTGTCATTTTGGCAGGGGGCCGGGATACCATCTCACTACAAGATCCATCAATAACAAACCAACAGCGTCCAAAGTCGCCAATGATCACGTTTACTGAGGTGCCTTGTCATAAACCTCTGACCTATGAAGGTAAGGCTAAAACCTTATTTCAGGTACTGAGATATTTATTATGCTGGTCATCTTCAATTGCACACCTGTCATTTTGAAGTGTTTTTTGCAGGCATCATGTTTATCCCTCCACGATTAAACACCACAACCTTTATTTACTGTATATATGTTACCTATTGGGATTTAAAAAGAATGCATTGTAAAAGAATGTGTGATCCTTTTATATAGTAGTTGTGTGCTAGAATGCTGACTTCATTGGCCCACAGCCACTTTTTAGTGTTGCTACAGTGAAATAAGAAACATCACTGGATCACAGAACTAGAGCAGGCTTTAAAACAACCAAATACACATCGGTTTCTTTCACTTCTCTTTAAGGGCTCATGTACACTGCAGCTCCTAAACTGACGTTTAGGAGCTGCAGTGTACATGAGCCCTTAAAGAGAAGTGAAAGAAACCGATGTGTATTTGGTTGTTTTAAAGCCTGCTCTAGTTCTGTGATCCAGAACTGACGTTTAGGAGCTGTTCAACATTTTTCAGCAGCCCCTGAACTCTCCCTAATGTTTTCCTATGTGTCCATGTACACATCGTCGTTTACAGTCGTTCACAGGCAGTTGAGTTTACAGTCATTTTTTTGAACGCACCAAACTTGCGTTCAGAAGTAGATTTTACGTGCTTTTCAAATGCCAAACGCTTGTAAACGCGGTTCACCATGTATATAAGCGTTTGCGTTTAGAAGCGTTTTTTAACTGTTCCATGTCCAGATGCTGTCCAGAGCCTTTTTTTCATCATCGGAAATGCATGAAAATCGTTTTCTATGTATTCAAATGGACCTAGTACACCAGCGCAGTCAGTTCCAGGTTTTGCGTGAAGGAAAAAAATGGTAGAACGTGCTGCATTATGCTCATGATGGGATCCATAATGAATACAGCCAGAAAAGACAGGTCATCTCACCAAATACTGCTCTCCCTGCTTCTGCTCTCTCTATTCCTCTCAAAATGTCTGAAATAGTTAATTGTTTACTATTTTCAGTGCATTCTGGGCATTTGGAAAGGTCTCCTGAGGTTATATTTTAAAATTGCTTCTAAATGCAAACGCACATAAACGCGGTATGCAAACGCACTACACTGACGTTTTTTTGACCTACATTTTCCAGCAGCCAGTTTCCATCGTTCAGAAGAGTTTTTCAAACGCCCCGTGTATATGACCCCTAACGGCATTCTGTATACAACCAAATTACCATTGTGCTTTAGAAATTAGGAAGTAAGAATTTGATAAACAGTATATACTGTATCTAGACAAAAGTGACTGTCCTACATATACTTCTCACCTTAGTATTTTTTTTAGATGTTTTTTTTTCTTTATTTTTTAAAGCTACTTAAAGTGGATCTAAAGCATTGTTTTGTTTTGTTTTTTTTACCTTAAAGATGAGTTCCACCCAAAAGGGGAATTTCTGCTTTAAAGATTGGTCCCCCCCGCTCCCCATTAAAGGATTGGCACCTTTGAGGAGCGGGAGGGTGGAGGGGAACAGGTACCTGCTCCCACTTCCGCTGCGATCGCCTAGGCAATCAGAAACGGAAGTTGTCCTCCTACCTTCCCTCCCCGAAGTTTTGTGGGACACATGACAGGTCCCAGAAGACAACAGGGCCATTCAGGAAGCGCAGCGCTACTCACACATGCGCAGTGGGCACCCAGCTGTGAAGCCTCAAGCTGTCACAGCTGGGTGCCCAGACTGAAGATGCTGGCGCCTGGAATTCAGGACGGCCTGTGAAACTGGCTGCGGCGGGGGGCACCATGGGATCGTGGGACAGGTGAGTGGCTGTTTTTTAAAAGTCAGCAGCTGCAGCTTTTGTAGCTGCTAACTGATATTTTTTTACAGAGTGAGTGGAACTCCGCTTTAATGCATTATATGTAAAAACTCTGTGCCTGGAATCCCCCCCAGCTCCTTACCCCCCCTATACTTTACTGAACCCCATCACAATCCAGCGTTGTGCATGAGGGTAGCAGCTCACTCTGCTTTATCCCTCCTCACAGGGCAGATCCATAGCAGCAGGAGCCATTGGATCCTGCTGCTGTCAAATCAAACTCTGTGAAGAGGGAGCGTGGGGCTGAGCTGTGTCCCACTGTATGTGTCTATGGGGGCAGTGGCTGAAGAGGAGGAGCCAGGAGCGCTGGTGGGGTGGGGGGACCCAAGAAGAGGATGATCAGAGGTGCTCTGTGCAAAACTATTGCACAAAGCAGATAAGTATGAAAATTCTGTTTTTTTATTTAAAAAACTGCAAAAGCTTTACAATCACTTTAAAAGGGGTCATCCTGGCAAAATAAAGGAGTAGAAAAGGTTACTATTCTCTCTCCTTTTTTAGCCACAGAGAGAAATTTGAGGACCTTGAAACTAAGAATGGATAGCAGGAGAATTCAGACTGCCGTTATGTGTTTAAAATATTATAACACAAACATCCCCTTTGATGTGCATACTCATCTTTGATAAACCTTTTTAAATGCCTTACACATCACTATTTTTACTGTTCATGCTTGCGCCCCTTGCACACAGGGCATCTAGCCTCTGTGCGTCCAAAGCTGGCATTTTAGTGTGCTCAGAGGCACAGATGCAGTGTGCAGCCCCACTGCCTGAAGAATACACATATAGAGAGAAATGAAATGAATGTTACCATCTTGTTTAATGTCTAAAGTGCCTTGTTTAAGTGCCAAAAACACCTTTAGTATTCATGAAACCAAAATAATGCAGCACTACCCTAGTAATAAAATACAATATGGCAAAAACAAACAAAGTGACATAAATATATAAATATATATATATATATGGCAAAAAATCAGTGGATCGATCCTCTCTGGGGATCTCAATATAAAGTGACATAAAATAAATATACATGCCAATAAATCAGTGGATTGATCCTCTGTGGGATCTCAAGTGAAAAAGTGATCACACCTGGTATAGAAAAACCAGTAACCAATACCCCCACTATCCAAAATAGGATCATGCACAAAATAAAATAAAACACAAATAAGCGTGAATCCCTAAATAGGGATCAATAAATTCATGCAAATGATGGTGAAAATGAGAACGTGAACCCCTAATAGGGATCAACAATATCATGTAGATCTTGAAAATAAGGGCTAAATTAAGCCAAAAAGTAAATAGTGACATAAATGGATCCCTAAATGTGGGATCAATTAAGTACAATAGTGCCAAAAAACACACATACAAAAAGTATGTTTATGAGCAAACACATCAAAAAAATAATATACATATTACATATAATAGTCTGTAAACATAAAAAATGAAAAAATAAAAAAAAACTTAAAACAACCAAGTCCAAATAAGTGCATATGCACCAAAAACTTTCCAATTACTCCTAAGTGCAGATAATATTGTGGATGTTCATCACCACCGATGGAAATAATCCGTATGTGGTTAAAATGCCCCCTCACCTCCTTGATGCAACCCTCAAAGGGTCAAAACGGTTTTGTTATTTGAAGCCAGGAATCTTCACTGATAATGGACACCTGCTCAGGTAGATGATATCCCCCCTCACTAGGAACAGCCAGGTCCCCTCCAGTATAAAGCAGCCAGCCACCAACTCAATTTAGTAAGATTATAACAAGCTTTTCAAAAGACCTCATGCTAAAGGTGTACTTGCATGGGAACTCATTGGGTGCAGCAAGATGGCGTCCACGCTGGAAGTACGTAACCACACTCGCTTCCTATGCATTACGTCACGCTATCATGTGACTTTTTCAAAGCCTAATGAGGGGGATATCATCTACCTGAGCAGGTGTCCATTATCAGTGAAGATTCCTGGCTTGAAATAACAAAAGTGTTTTGGCCCTTTTGAGGGTCGCATCAAGGAGGTGAGGGGGAATTTTAGCCACATACGGATTATTTCCATCGGTGGTGATGCACATCCACAATATCACCTGCACTTAGGAGTAATTGGAAAGTTTTTTGTGTATATGCACCTATTTGGACTTGGTTGTTTTAATTTTTTTTTTTCATGTTTACGGACTATTATATTTTTCACCTTTTTTTTTTTTGTGTGTTTGCTCATAAATATACTTTTTGTATGTGTGTTTTTTGGCACTATTGTATTTAATTGATCCCATATTTAGGGATCCATTTTATGTCACTATTTACTTTTTGATTTAATTTAGCCATTATTTGTCACGATCTGTATGATATTGTTGATCCCTGTTAGGGGTTCACGTTCTCATTTTCACCATCATTTGCATGAATTTATTGATCCCTATTTAGGGATTCATGCTTATTTGTGTTTTATTTTATTTTGTGTATGATCCTATTTTGGATAGTTGGGGTATTGGTTCCTGGTTTTTTATACCAGGTGTGATCACTTTTTCACTTGAGATCCCACAGAGGATCAATCCACTGATTTATTGGCATGTATATATATTTTATGTCACTTTATATTGAGATCCCCAGAGAGGATCAATCCACTGATTTTTTTTGTCACATATACAGTCAGGTCCATAAATATTGGGACATCGACACAATTCTAACATTTTTGGCTCTATACACCACCACAATGGATTGGAAATGAAACTAACAAGATGTGCTTTAACTGCAGACTGTCAGCTTTAATTTAAGGGTATTTACATCCAAATCAGGTAACGGTGTAGGAATTACAACAGTTTGCATATGCACCTCCCACTTGTTAAGGGACCAAAAGTAATGGGACAGAATAATAATCATAAATCAAACTTTCACTTTTTATTACTTGGTTGTAAATCCTTTGCAGTCAATTACAGCCTGAAGTCTGGAACACATAGACATCACCAGACGCTGGGTTTCATCCCTGGTGATGCTCTGCCAGGCCTCTACTGCAACTGTCTTCAGTTCCTGCTTGTTCTTGGGGCATTTTCCCTTCAGTTTTGTCTTCAGCAAGTGAAATGCATGCTCAATCGGATTCAGGTCAGGTGATTGACTTGGCTATTGCATAACATTCCACTTCTTTCCCTTAAAAAACTCTTTGGTTGCTTTTGCAGTATGCTTTGGGTCATTGTCCATCTACACTGTGAAGCGGCGTCCAGTGAGTTCTGAAGCACTTGGCTGAATATGAGCAGATAATATTGCCCGAAACACTTCAGAATTCATCCTGCTGCTTTTGTCAGCAGTCACATCATCAATAAATACAAGAGAACCAGTTCCATTGGCAGCCATACATGCCCACGCCATGACACTACCACCACCATGCTTCACTGATGAGGTGGTATGCTTAGGATCATGAGCAGTTCCTTTCCTTCTCCATACTCTTCTCTTCCCGTCACTCTGGTACAAGTTTATCTTGGTCTCATCTGTCCATAGGATGTTGTTCCAGAACTGTGAAGGCTTTTTTAGATGTCGTTTGGCAAACTCTAATCTAGCCTTCCTGTTTTTGAGGCTCACCAATGGTTTACATCTTGTGGTGAACCCTCTGTATTTACTCTGGTGAAGTCTTCTCTTGATTGTTGACTTTGACACACATACACCTACCTCCTGGAGAGTGTTCTTGATCTGGCCAACTGTTGTGAAGGGTGTTTTCTTCACCAGGGAAAGAATTCTTCGGTCATCCACCACAGTTGTTTTCCGTGGTCTTCCGGGTCTTTTGGTGTTGCTGAGCTCACCGGTGCGTTCCTTCTTTTTAAGAATGTTCAAAACAGTTGTTTTGCCACACCTAATGTTTTTAATATCTCTCTCATGGGTTTGTTTTGTTTTTTTCAGCCTACCGATGGCTTGCTTCACTGATAGTGACAGCTCTTTGGATCTCATCTTGAGAGTTGACAGCAACAGATTCCAAATGCAAATAGCACAGTTGAAATGAACTCTGGACCTTTTATCTGCTCATTGTAATTGGGATAATGAGGGAATAACACACATCTGGCCATGGAACAGCTGAAAAGCCAATTGTCCCATTACTTTTGGTCCCTTAACAAGTGGGAGGCACATATTCAAACTGTTGTAATTCCTACACCGCTCACCTGATTTGGATGTAAATACCCTTAAAGCTGACAGTCTGCAGTTAAAGCACATCTTGTTCATTTCATTTCAAATCCATTGTGGTGGTGTATAGAGCCAAAAATGTTAAAATTGTGTAGATGTCCCAATATTTATGGACCTGACTGTATATATATTTCTCACTTTGTTTGTTTTTGCCATATTGTATTATTTTATTATTAGGGTAACGCTGCATCATTTTGGTTTCGTTAGTTTTTATTTCCACATGGTATATGGTTAGGTGCTAGCAGCTCCCACTCACCTAATTTATCACGTAATTGTAGCACAGGAGATCTTCATTATTTTTGTTGAGCTTTAGTATTCATATTATCTTCTTGTTTCTGTAGCACACAGGCAACAAAGTGTTGACATCCGCTGTAGTGATTTGCGCATGCAAGCCAACAATGAGACCACACAACCACTGGAAAACTCCCAAGATGCACTTGGTAATACTTATGAGAACATGTATCTTCATCCTTTAATCCCTCTATTGTGCTCGGAGACAGAAGAACTGGAGAAGACGGGGAAGACGATCATTGAACTAACTGAAGAACTGGCAGCAGCTGAGCTAGAAGATAACCATCTTATAAATTCAGTTGAAGGACAAAATGTTGCAGATGTGACACCCCCTCTTGATAGCTTTGAGCCTCCATCATCCAGTTCAGAGCTTGCTGACCATTTGGAATCTGAGATATTATCAGCTGGAAGTTTAGAGGAATCACAGGACTCTGCTGATGGAAGCTTAGATAGTTCTGGTCTCCAAAACTGTGTGGACACAAAAGAGGGACTTTCTGAGTCCTCTGCGATGGATGAGTTAACAAAACTTCTTAGTAGTGATGAAAGTGTAGGAAAAGAAGTAGAAAAGAAAGGATCATGACCAAATTCGCACTGTTTCCAAAGAGGTGTCTTGCTTTGTTCAGACAATGTTTTATTTATTTTAAAAAAAAGTTTCTTCCCAAAGTTGAACACATTTTTATAGTCCATTGTTAGAAGACTGATGAACCTAAAACACAAGTTACACAATTATCAGAAGTACACGTAAAAGTTTGTGGAGAACACCAGTAAAGAAAATATTGGCTGATATATAGCTCTATATTGCTATAAACAAGTTGAGTAGAAACTGCTTTTCATTTTGTTTTCACCAGAAATGGTTGACAATTTCAAACAGGAAGTGATGGGTTACAAAAAAAAAATCTGAAATTAAAGTGGACCTATTGTTAGAATTCATAGTCCTGTTTAAAAGGTGGGGCACAATACAGAATTGACAAATATTATTGTAACTCAAAAAAAAAATCTCACACTGCTGGCCTGCCTGTTTGTTTTTTACAGCAGCTTCCATATCATTCTTCAACTGTATATTTTCATCTAGGACTTCAGTTTTGTCATTACAGGCTTCTCCTGGGAAATTGAACAGGCAAAGGTTGCTGCAAAAGTAGAAACCCAGTGGATTGGCTGAAAAGTAGGCTTCTCAGTGGACCGAACCAATGGATTCATTAATTGTCTGTAATGTTGATCAGCTGAACCATTTACTGGCCTCTTTCAGTTTTTGGGATTTCCATCGTAACTCCCTACTCCCCCTATCCCAGTGGGGAACTCATTATTTCACTTGTTCTATCCTCTATAGTTCAAAATAAATGAAAGCTGAGGAAAGTGAGGCCCTCTTACGTACTTCTGCTATGAATATGCAATACAGTATATAAAGAAATGCACAACTGGTGTAAGAAAGTCAACCTATTGGCACAACCTATATCAGCTTTAGGAGGACCAGTAATGTGTTAATGTGTGTAATGCAACTTGTGTTTTAGATCTTGTGCTCATTTCAGTCTGATCATTTCATGGATGGCGTCTTTCAGTGTTTAGTAAAGTTTGTGAGGGCTGCTTGTGCTTTGTAGACTGTGTCTTCTAGTAAGTGTATGTCTATTTTTTGTATGTAAAATGCTGAATCTTTGTTCAGTCATAGAGATAAAATGATGTTATAAATTCATTATAAGTAATTATTTTTTTATGTTCTCAGTCAAAAATTAACCATGTTAATAAAGACAGACATAAAAGGCTAGTCCACCCAAAAATTGTATTTCATTTTCTGGTAAATGTTGGCTAGCTGATTTCCCAACCAACTTCGTATACCTCTTAAGGTCTCTGAGGATGAGATCTCTACACGTGGATTTGCATGTTTGCCTTATAGCCCTTACAAGAGGGATGTTTATCTATAATGCATGATGGATTAACAGACCGCCAACAAGTAATGTGCAGCATTGAGAGTGAGCGATACTGAAGGTGACAGAACTTGGGATTCTGACAGAGATCCCAGAAGTCACTAGGTTGCTGCTAATTACCAAAACTCATGATTTAGTAATCCTCTTTGGGTGGACTGACCAATTATTTTATTATCCCATATGTTTTTAATCTCTCTTCTTGCATCTATCATAAGAGTACAGCTTTTTGCGCAGTTTTAAAGAGAAACACACATATTTATACTGCCCTTCCCACACTGTGTATTCAGATTTAGAGCTTTGCCTCTTTGTCAGCTCCACTCTGACATGTGACCAGGATCAGAAGATCTATGCACTGGTTCAAGAAATGTGGTGTCACTGGCAGTGGGGGTGAACACGTTCGGCTTCAGGTCCAGAATCAGTACACATCCCAGTCTCTCTCAGAAACTTTTGTGCATATGTTGGAATAATGTAGACCTCTTCCTGGGCAGAGTGAAAAACTAGGAGGCATCACACTAGAGCATGTATTTCACATGATTCTTTAAGGACTCATGCACATGGTGCTTAAAAAAAAGCCGCTTTTACAGGCGTTCATGTTTTTTTTATGTCTGTAAAAGCACACCTATGTTAGCCTTTGTGGCCATGCACACATAGGCATTGCTGAGAAGCAATATACACATAGGCATTGAAGAGAAGCAATATACAGAAAAAAATGCACTGAAGGGCATGTTCTGAGAGGAGTTTTTGAGCAGAGAAACGTACATAAACGCATCTACACATGTAAATGTATTCTGATGGCCAGAAAAAAATTTATATTCTGACCAGTAAAATGCATTTATGCTCAAACGCCATATAAACATAACCGCACATATAAATTGTAATTTTAGAGGGTTGTTTCTGTGAAATTATAGCAAAAAAAAAATGCTGCTTAAGTCTGAGTGCATGAGGCCCTAATGTGATCTGTTCTCTTTAACATTGTGTACAAGACAAGAAATCCTTCACTTTGGGATGAGTTGAATTTGGTATTCCCTGTCTTAATAAGAAAACCAGGCAGTTTAGATATGAAGTGATTCCATTGAATGGTGTTGGGAATGTAGGCTTGTACAAATACAAGTTTAATTTGTAAGGTGCACAGAGCAATGTGCAACTCTGTTCATCCAGCAATAGCTGTAAAATGTGATTGCGATTGCTGCATTCTGCACAGATACCTACTCCTGGTACCAGATATCTGCTGCACCCCCCCCCCCCCCATGCTCTCTCCCGGCCCACGCTCATATCCTGCATCGCTGCTGGGTTTCCCCCTCCCCTCTCCCGCCAGCTGCTGCAGGGGATCTGTCAGGATGGAGAGGGGGAAGGGGTCGGTAAATGTGTAATTTAATGGCCCCTTCCTTTTCTGAAAGGAGCATTGGTGATCTGTACCGATCACTTATTCTGTCCATTCATAACTGAAACATAGTAAACTGTGTTTACTATGTTTCAGTTTGTGAATGGAGGGGAAATTTTGTTCAGAAGCTATTCCTAACCATTTATTCTGTGCAGCTGAGGTTGCAGAGATGGAAATTTAGGGCTGTGTCCTCAATCTAGTTTCTCTGTCTCAAAGGTAGAACATCAAATGTCTGTTTAGACCCCTGGTATCTCCCCAAAGCCCCCCAATTTGGCTCCTCCTAAAAAATAAAAAAAAAAACTGTAAAAATGGTTGAAAAAACTACTGACACCAGTGGCAGAACTACCAGGATCACAAAGGTCGCACTTGTGATTGGGCCCTAGCTTTCGGCTCAGAGGGAAGGGCCCCGGCCAAGGGTTGGGGAAGGGGGGGGGCCTTCATGGTTTCTTGCACCGGGGTCCTGAAGGCTCTAGTTACATCACTGTGCCTGGTACCTGTAGTCTTGACTGTGCAGAATGAGGATCTTCCTTGCTGACAACTGTGGTTGAGATCATTTTCCCTCCAATAATCCAGCAATGGGGATGTCTGCCTTCTTACTCAGTGTGCCTTTCCAATCTTATTTTGTATGTCTTAGCCTATCTAGCCAGAACACAACCCAGAGATTATCCCCAAGCTGGACCTCTGTTGTATACATCTTGCCTTAAAGTGATTCTAAAAGGCCTATTTATAATTTTTTTTAATGTCATGTCTATTTTTACCTGCAGTGTGTAGTGGTTTTGCACAGAGTGCCTGAATTCTCCTCTTCTCGGGTCCCCTAATGGCGCTCCTTGCCCCTTCCTCTTGTCGGGTGCCCCCACAGCAAGCAGCTTGCTATGGGGGCACCCGCTGCTCCGTGTGTCCATTCACACACGAAGCTGTGGCCCTGCCCTGCCCCCTCTCTTCTCATTGGCTTACTGGCTGTGATTGACAGCAGTGGGAGACAATGGCTCCCGATTCTGTCTCAGCCAATGAGGAGAGGGAGTCCCGGGATAGCCTAGACTCCAGTGCACATTGCTGGGTCGAGAGGGCGCTTAGGTGAGTATTGGGGGGGATGCTCTACACAGACAGTTTTTTACCTTCATGCATAAAATGCATGAAGGTAAAAAACCTTAAGCCTTTACAACCACTTTATTGACAACACTCCAGGAAAGAAGTACTTTTAATTGTGACTGGTCCAGAGAAGTTATGTGTAAAGCTTTGACAACTGTGTCCACATGGCAGCTGGGGATGCTAAAAATTGTAGTGTTATTCTTCTGGGTGCTAGTGAAAGCTGTGAGCTTTGGCCATTCAGCCTTTGAAAACGTGCGAGCTCACAAAACGCGTTAGAGAGGTGCCCTATATACCCTGTGACGTCACACTACCTACTACTACTGCCTGTGGACAGCCGGTGGCCATTTTCGGACTTTCTCTACTACCCAGCTACCTACCCATTTCAACATGTGAGTAGCATATCTGATGTTGTATATATTATACTTTGGTGGATAATAAAAATACTACACTATCAGTATTTTCTTGTTCTGGCTCGTTACTTCTGAGCCCCCCCTCTAAGGCATATTTGGGATGATCTGGTGGCCACACAGTGATCAAGGAATCTCTCCCTGCTGGTGAGACGAGTAGATATCCCCTGGTACCTGGAGACCTAGAGATTGTGATTTCTGCCCAGCTGTTGCAGGCAAGATGACCTTTTTCCAGTGATCCAGTTTCAACAGGCAGAGGACCAGGAGTTGGTTAACACTCAAATGCGCATTACCATTGCGCTATCTGGTTAGTGCAATCTACACTCATCTCTGTGGGAACAAACAAGGTCACAAAAGTCACCAATTTATTCACCATTATTTCACTGAGATTTGACACGATGCACTACAAGGACACTCTTGGTGAAGATTCTTAGTCACCATGCTTACAATGTTTGGATGTTTCAGATATTACCATATCCACCTTATGACTAAGTGGTGTTCGTTATACCATTTTTTGTATAAACACTCTATATGATCATATCATGGTATTATAGTAGCACTGCATGTTTTTGTTTGATATATAGCCTTACAGTTCTGGTTCTAATACAGTGTTGATAGTGAGTTGCTCACTCTCCATCTTGTGCATTCATGAAACGACTTGTGTTCATTTCACTGAATACAAGGTGTTCTCTGAATGGATGAGAGTAGCAGGGGAAGCCACAGGATCTCCTCTCATCCGTTTACCGAGTGCCTTGTATTCAGTAACAGGAATTCAGTACTCTTC